TGATTCAACATCAGCATCATATTGAACTTTAAAAGGCTCATGTTGCACTGTCATATTAGATTGGTCAACAAATTCGAGCAGTGCATTATTTAATGACTCTCCAGTTTCAGCAACAACATCTTGAATACTACAATTCTCAGAATTTTCAACAGTATAACAATTTTCAAGATTGTTTACTGTTATTGCTTGATCACAGTTTCTGTGAATTTTTGATATATGACTGTAAAAGAACATAAAATGGAATACTTTTTTTCGGACTCTTGAAACGGACATAGAATTTCTTGTTTCTTACTAATGTGCATATTCAAATGTTTTATAAGAAGATGAAAATTATCAAATTCTTTCTTGCAAATGTTGACTGTACATGCAAATTTTCCTCTTTTATCTGCAGAACAAGCGACGTACGGAAGTTGTTGCTTTTTTGCTCGTAATCCATGAGTTCTAATTAAGTGTGTTTTAAATATGCACTACGTTGAAAAATTTTTTTACATCAATGATATCCACAATAATAGAAACGAGTAATGTTTCTATGATAATTATGATGATATAAATGTGTTTTTAAAGATGGAGTTTCAAAATTGCAAAAGTTGCAGTGAAACATCTTAATCTGTAACATGTTACATTTACAAATCTTTATTAAATTTATAGTTAGAGTCATTAAGTTTGAACATTTATCGTTAGAGTAGAATATTGTTATATTAGAGAAAAAAGCAAACTTTTAATTAAAACTTGTACTAATAAAAGACTATATTTTTTCATTATAATTTTAATTTTAAAACCTGATATGAATGCTGATAGATAAAACTTGCTGTATATTGTATGCTACAGAGGGATCCGATTGCCCATATCGTAAATTAGTCAATTTAAAGTTGCGTGGACGAAACAGTTCTTGCAAAATTTAAGAATCAGCAATCTATTAATATTTATACTTTCTATATAAAAATAAATACTATATCTTACTATATTTTACCTCTCTATATCTTACCTCTCTTTATCCCTTACGGAAAAAACTCTTAAAATCTGAGTGTTTACATTTTAAAAAACACTGAAAAAATACACTCAAGGTAACACTCAATTAATGATTATTTTGGACGATCAACCTGAGTGTAACTCTCAACTTGAGTGTTATTGATGACTTGAATGTTGAGTGTTAATCTTAACTTGATAGTTAACTTGAGTGTCAGGGTGAAATCACACGGTGCGGAAAATGATTGCGGAACAAAGAATGCGTCATTCAGCGGACTCAATAGTTGAGTGAGCTCTCGCT